AGAGAGAGAGAGAGAGAGAGAGAAACGTCTAATCACAAGAATTAAATATTAAAAAAATTAATATACTGTAGATATAGTACAAAAATTAGTATTGCAACTAACAATAGTGATACTATAGATAGAATGTGCTTTTTTGTGCCATATTTGATCAAGATATGATTAATATTTCCAATTAACAATTAAATGAATTCAAACGATAAACCACTATTTATTAAAAACTATAAAAATTATTGCCAGATTTGCAATCAGACCTTCAATGACAATTAAAGTAAAGAATAAAATAGCATATATAAATGTTTAGATTGTAAAAAATTTTATTTAAAAAATAAAATATAGAATTTAGCATTTGTTAAACTACTAATTTGTTTCTAACAAATCGCTTAAAAAAAAGTAGGCAGTACTTCTTTTATCCGATGAGTAGATCAATTACATCCAAGAAAAGGAAAAAGCAATTTAAATAATTTGTTCAGTCAAATATTGATTCACGTAATTCTTTAATTAAATCCAGAGAAATAGAATTTATAGTAAAGAGAGAAGGAATCGTCTGTTTAGTTATCCGTTTTTTATTGGATTCAACTTATTCCTCCTTTGACCTTGGAATTTTAGTAAGACGTTTAAAAGCAAATTATAAGAAAAGATTTACAGATGTAATTGTAAAACATCTGTACATACAGGTGTGTACTTATAATATTTCAAGAATACAAAGACATATACAAGTGTAATAGATTTCTTTGACTAGTTTCATATTAAGTTTTAAATAATACTTTTTATTATATAAATGACGACAATTTCTTCTTTCTCAAATATTTTATTTTCCTTGATTCTTCTCGTAAAAAGCATAATTGATCGGATTTTTAAAAGGCTTAGATTCTATTAAAAAACTTGATCTGATTAATTTCAAATTCTAATCTCATATTTTAGTTTACCTGTTCTTTGACTGGTTTACTCCAGACGCACAGGAAACAGAAGTGACAAAAGAAAACTGCGCCTTCAATTTTGGCGATGTTCGAGTAATCAAGAACAAAATTGAGATATCTACTCGTGCATGTAATCCTTCGATACACTCGAGTCGATTCGTTCCTGACTCTGCTTCGTCAGGACACGGCAGGACTCCAAATGTTTTCATTTCTGGAAATGATAAATCGTGCCATTCTCTAAAATTTCTTGGATATTGCGATTCGTAGAAGCGGCATTCCAATCTTAGGATGGAAAATCCCTTTTCTAATCGCGCGCATGCAAACCTTAACTTATTGTTAGTCATTCGAAATATTCAAAATATATTAATGCATTACGAGCAATGCCTTAGAGTCATCTTGAAAAGTAAAAACTATATAATTTAATTATTTATTCTCTATATATTACGTTCAAAGTATGTGTGTATATTAGATAATATCTTTTTATTAAAATAAAAATTAGAAGGAATGTTTTTGAATAAAATATTTTTTTTCTGTAGAAAAGAATAAAACTTATTTTATGCATACAGTAAACAAGGTACAACTACATTTATAATTAATTTGTGCGCATTATATCTTTAGGATAAAATTTGTTTTACTAAAAATAATAAAAATCTATTTGGAATTCAATTTTTTTTACTATTTTACAAGTTCAATCTCTTAAAATGAGAAAAATTATAAATAGATAAGGTATCGATATTAAAAATCTATCAATAAATTGAAAGTTGATTGATATATTTCAGTTACATGAGCGAAATAAATTGCATTAGTATATGAAAGGATAAATGCATTATGGAATGAAATCTGAAGTTTCCTGATAAACGGCCGAAGCGGATAGAAACGGAAAGTTAAAGGATATAGGAATCGCGCAGCTCTTGAAATCGAGCAATTTGTCACCGTCACAGTAGCTCGATGAAGTTTCTTCGGAGGCGCATAATTCCTCATGCCATCGTACATCCCAGAAAATCTGATAGCGATTATCATAAAAGTAATCGAGTTTAAGGAATCAAAAGCAAAAAGATAGGATCTCCGACAATTTTTCGAATTTGACATCATTGAAATCTCGAAATCTAATACATAATTTCTATGCTCAATTTATTTTACTCTAGCTTATATGTATGTATATATATCTTACTATCGCATACTCGAGAAGACGTAAAATGTGAAAGAAAATATGAGAAGAAGAGAAACATGTGACGCGCGCGCGTTTAGTATATTGAGAGAAAGGAAATATACTATAAAGAGTACCAAGATAGTGAAAGAATACGTCGGATTAACGTTACGTATAACATCGTAACACGAAACTAAATTATATGAAAGTCATATCGTAGGTGTTGCAGATCCTTCAAATCTTATAAAATGTGCAACCGTAATTCATGTAAAAAATCATGGAGATTGCTATACAACGTTTATATTTGTTATTCACGATCGATGCGATAAATTTGCAAATATACACGTGATTTATTAGGTCACTTTGACACGAAAATAGAATGGATGCATAAAGCCAACTTTATACGTATGTACATTATATGGAATCTAATAAATGTCACACATTAACTAATAAATTATAAAAACTATAAAAATTGGTGTCTTATGACACAAATTTTTTCAGTCTTAGTATTATAAAAAAAAACTTATTTTTAAATTTGTTAAGAAATATGTGTTTTGAAGTAACATAGAGCTGCTACAATGATCGGTTTGAGATGCGTATATAAATGGCTCTTATGTTGAGTGGCTGTAACATTAAATTGTACCATCTGAGAGATACTAAAAGTACCTTCTAATTGTAAGTAGAATATGCATACATACCGCATTAATGGAACATCTCAAGCTAATTATCTGGAATTCATACGATAACGACACATTTGACATGCAAAATACAAAGGTAATGTAAGCGCAATGCGCATTAGCTACACGAATACGACTCGAGTGAATGGAATAAGGTTAAACGAGCGTAAAAGCGATTACGCGCGAAAATACCGGGGAATCGAAAGATGAAATAAGAGGGAAGATAGATTATTGAAGTAGATGAGCCACCATACACCATAACAGGTATATCACCAACAGGCGACCATTTTATTCGGTATTGTGGAAAAATACGGGAAATTCTATAGTTTGCGAGACAAAAGGCATGCTTCTTATCGAGCTTCCCGCATGTTCCAATCCATCGCGGTGAAAATTAATTTGCAATACGTTGTCTGCGAAAATCGTTGCCGGGATTTCTATATCGGGATCACGATTACAACCAGCTGTTTGCAGAAGGAATGTCCGATAAAATAATGTAGCGTCTTCGTAGTACGAGCTGTTTATTTTAAGAGCTGTGTAAATCAATCTTGAAAGCACAGCGACCTCAGGATCTAGTATTCGCGTCGCGAATTTAGTGCTCAGAATGCCTGTTTAAACCGTCTATGATATAAATATGAGACGAGATTTAAATAGCTGCAATGTCAGCGCTACAGGAATACCAATAAATTTAAACGAGATACTATCAGAATTAACGCGTTTACTTGTGTACTTATTTCAACAAAATTTCACAATTTATATGAATTTCCATTATTTTCCGTTATCTATTTTATAATGAATCGAGATGATTGATTTATGCAGCAAACGCATGCAAATAATGGGTTACATATTACCCATGAAATTACGTCCATTTAAGGACAAGAGAAATAAGACATGTATTTTACAAAAGTTTACTTGAAAATTTTAACGCTCGAGTTGCGGACTATGGACGCCCTTCGACATCGACGCCACAGACGGCGAAAAAAGGGCTCGGAAAATCGATATGACATTATTCCCGATGTGTTCTACCTCCATCTTTTGCATCACGTACGTTTTCCCTCGCGCATGTCTCGTATATCTCTTTCTCTCTTTTATTTTGCACTCAGCTTCCCGTCTTCCTTCCTCTTAACTTTCATCCGCATCTCTTTTATTTTACTTTTTTCTTTATGCCTCTCAGCTTTTGCCCTCCCGTAACCAACCCTTCCAGATATTAAACCTGATCCAGAAAGAGCCGAGTATGACTTTCATCTCTTCGTAGTGAAGTCGACTACATTCGATGACGTCTCGTCTGGTAATTCAAGATAGATTTCGCGATCGTGAAATCCGACATTCCGCGACGACTGCGAAAATGTTGCGATGAAGGATAATCACATGACATTCAACTCCTTTCGCAATTCCAATTATCCGTCTTTCGCAAGTAGGTTCTCTAATGAGAACATACCTATTATCTATTCTGTTTGCAAAAATTGTTCTAGTCTACAATTTACGATTCTTATTCAAAATTGCAAAAGTAATTACTAATTATGTATATTTACTTTTGTTTAAATATTTCAAAGAATCAATATTTCCCCATTGCATAAATTCCATTCTTAATTCTTCATTTCATTAATTTTATTTTTGATTGAATTTTTGATTGTACGAGTAAGTACCAGTTTTCAGTTCTTGGTTAAAAAAAAATGAGATTGAGTACCGATCAAAACTAGTTGACCCGAAAAGAAGAGGGAAAGCCAATTTAATTAGTTTTTAATTAAAGCATCATGCAGCAGACATAGACGTCATAGAAATGAGAACGCGTTTTTAATTCTCAGCACCGATGACCATTTGTTGTTTGCGAAATTTATAATAATTTCATAAATTGAGATCGTTAAAAGCTGTTTTACAAATGTCCTTTGTGAGATATCAAATATACATTCTGAGCAAGATATTACAAATTTTTGTTAAATTTATAATTCAACTTCAAGTAAACTTTAAATAAAAAAAAAATAATAGTTTAGTTAATTTAGAGACAATTGAGATATGTATCCGATTAAATTTTTTTACGTCAGACATACGATATGAGAAAAAGTTATCATGTGCAAAACTTGCGTTTATAATTGATGTGACTTTAATACGCGTTTGCTCCCTATTAAAACGTGGTACATTTAAGAGGACAGAAGAGCACTTGCAAAAAAGCCAGAAAGCTTCAGCATGGCTCTTTATGTCGGTAGAAATATGGGTTAATTAAGCGCATATTAGTGGAATATTATATGCGTCCTTGCAAACTCGAGGGGTTTATAACACGTTAAGCGCATACCATTATTTTATACGAATAAAATAGCATTGCACTTTATACAAAAGTCTTATAATAATAGAACATTAATTTCTAAAAATTTAATTTTAATGTAAAGTGTAATCTCAATTCTTAAGATTATATTTCGTTTAGAAGAGTTTAATTTAGCAAAAATCTTATTATTAAATTAAGTTTCAAGTAATGTAAGACACAAGTATTTAATTTTATAAACATACGTTTAAAACGTGCTTTACTTAAGAGAAGTTATGTATGCCGAAATATTATAGAAAATCATAAACATGACCATTGGACGCTATACGCGACAAGTATTGAATATCTACCGATTAAACTTTTACATCGTTTTAATATCGCGAACTTTCTCTCGAAGGAAGTGGAATGCCCTTGCTCGAATAAGTTCTCCGAAGTTCCGATCGAAAGGGCTTTCTTGAAAATGGTCTTGAGGAGTCCAATAAGAGTCAGCTTAGTATAGATTTTTGAGATCATGAAACATCGAAGAAATTCTGATCTTACGATCCTTCCTTGTCGTCGATATAATTTCGTCGTTTAAAAGACAATTACGTCTTTAAAAAATAAAGCAAAAGTGTAATATTAATAATTTATATTTATAACTTGAAGAACTTAAGGCTCCCAATAAATAAATCATATATAATAACTAAATAGTGCCTATGCAAACTGACACGGATGTAATAATTTTTATTGTTACATTATTCAGCCACACACAAACTATGCGCCGCATTTTTGTCGGACTTAAAACACAGTTCTTACATAAAGCCGGAATTCACTATAACGAATTAAATTGACAAGCAATTTAATATATTTTTAATGCTAATGTAAGCATCTATAAGAATCCCTTCCCCCCCCCCCAAACTTGTAAAGAAATTTATTGCGAAAAATATCACCTCAGCCAGGAAACGAACCTGGATTAGATCCATCAAAAATATTAAATTGCTTGTCAATTAAATTGCAATCACGAAGAATCTTCAAGATAGCTCGATTTCTGTCGTAAGTATCTACAGTTTATTTGCATGTACAGTACACGAATCTTGCAGCAAATTGCTGAATTCTGCTGCATTTAATTGCACACAAATTTTGCTATAAAATAA